TATCTGTTTGCGGGCCTATATACAACTTGCATGACCCCAAGAAAAAAGATTACAGTTGATAAATTCGGCGCTTGAATAAATAATACCCTACAATGACATTTTTATTTTTCTGCGTAGTTTTAAATTATTTTTTATCTTGTGTAGAGGTTGTTTATCGTGGCATTATTTACCCGACATTTCTATTAATGTTGGATGTAATACGATGTTTTTTTTTTTTTTTTTTATGTGGGCTGCCCATACGCGTAAATATGGGCCAATGACATAAATACGCAACCCAGTCTCCACTGTCACGCTGGCGTCAATATTAAACCGGTCCTATTTGCAATATGGAACGTGATGCCATAGGAGTGGAAACCCCTGAAACCAGACACGTTCTCTATTGTAAAATAGGTACAGATACTACGCTTTGTGTCAAGTCGTCCTTGGCTACGCTCACGGTATAGAACATGGCCGATTTAATGTGGGAAGCTAAAGCTCAAAAGATAACGACTGATATTTCATTTAAATTTTTGAAGATGAAAGTTGACTTGGAAGCAAGAAGCCGAAAGAGAGTCCGGAGAAATGCGATAGAAGAAATTATTAACATAGAACTTACGGTTACATCTAGCCATTTAAAATGTAAAAATATGAGACCCAAATGCCAATCTAGTAAACGCTTAAATTACTAAAGTGAGTAATATTTATTTTGAATGATAAAAAAATATGGCCCAAGGCCAAAAGGAGGGATAGTGGATGGCTGTTCTTCAATCGGTCTTATACTAAACTTAGCTAACAACGATTACTGACCCAAACTAAACACAGTTTTCCTTACACAAAACAACAGATTTTTACTTATCATCCTTACTACAGCCACCATAATACCTCAAGTATCTATGTAGTTCTAACAGGTTTCCATATGTACAATTTATCTGGGGTGAGGGGATAAAATAAAAACGAAGAGAAAAGTAAATCAGAACTATTGCCATGAAAATATTTATAGAAAACACAGAGTGTAGCAATAATACGGCAGTGGCAAACCAGGTCAGAACCAATAACATTGCAGATTCTTCTTTGGATTTGATCAAGAATCTTATAATAATAAAATATGAACAAGTTAATTTATTATAGTTAATTGTATAGCGATATTCGAAAATGTTACTATTTTAAATATTTAATTAAATATGGATAAATAATAAAAATGGCAAATTTAATACTTTATATACGTTTTAATTAATTTTTTATTTATATTATTGTTATGGGGTCTTACCCATAATACTAATGATGGACCATACTTAATAAATACTGCGCCTCGGGAGTAGGCAAGAAGTCAGCCAGTAGTTCACTACCGACTGTTCGGTTCAACTCTCTGTCTACGGACGGAGAGGAACCCGAAGGAGGCTACGCCGAAGGGCTGAGTCTCCTTCGGGGAGGTAGACCGGCCCTGAACCCGTTTATACGGGTTCAATGGGCATATTTTTGGCCGAGCCCACAGGCTCGGAATGCCCACGTTAAAAAGGCCTTGTGCCACATGACACCGTCGTGGGGGGGTGACTGAATATTGTCAGTCAGTCGTTCACTTTTAAACCGACTGTTCGGTTGAACTCTCTGCCTTCGGGCGGAGAGGAACCCGAACGAGGCTACGCCGAAGGGCGGAGTCACGTTCTGGGAGGTAAACCGGCCCTGAACCCGTTTATACGGGTTCAATGGGCATATATTTGGGCCGAGCCCACGGGCTCGGCAAACCCACAATAAATAACCGACCTTGTGTCATATGTTGCCCCAGTGTGGGGGGGAGACTGAATATCGTCAGTCAGTCGTTCACTTCTGAACCGACTGTTCGGTTGAACTCTCTGCCTTCGGGAGGGGAGGAATCTGAAAGAGGCTATGCCGAAGGGCGGATTCTCTTTCGGGGAGGTAAACCGACCCTGAACCCGTTTATACGGGTTCAATAGGCATATTTTTGGCCGAGCCCGCGGCCTCGGATATCCCATGTTAAAAAGGCCTTGTGCCACATGACGCCCTCGTGGGGGGGTGACTGAATATCGTCAGTTAGTAGTTCAAGTTGAGTCAGTAGTTCAAGTCAGTAATTCAAGTCGAGTCAAGTGTCGAGTCAAAGACAGTCGCGTTCAGACAATTACTGCAAGTTGGAATAGTGATACTGGTCGAGACTACATTGTTCTTTCTACTAAACCTGATTGTTCGTACTAACACTTTCTACTTCTCTGTATATATTCCTGTTTGTAATATATCTGTGTTATTCCATATCCGTATTCGAGTTCTTCTTTATTGGTTCTACCTTGGACTATCACCGTGGTACAAGGAATCGGACCATAACAATTATGATAACAAAATGTAAAATATTTTATTCACTTTTCTCTTTAATTGATTATTAATATAATAATAATAAAATATAAAATGTTGATAGTTTGAATATTTTTTGTATGTAATTAAATATGAATATTATACTGTACTTAAATTCATAAAGTCTAAGTATCATAGAGGAAAGTTCATCAGAATAAATCCAATTGAAAGTATTTATAGAAAATACACAGGGAAGCTACGTTGCGGCTGTGGGAATTGGTTTGAGGCCGAGATACCAGGTCATGACCAATAAAAATGCAGAAGACAGAAACACAATTGGCAAATAAAATTTTGTCCGCTCGAATGCAAATATTACGCTTTGATCCTGGCTCTTACTTGTTCTCCTAGTTTTGTAGTTTTAATTATTCCTCGGCAATTCCAATGTATTTCATAGATTTTACTTAACAATATTGCAAATAGGCAATATGTACATATGCTAACAATTCGGTTATGTGGAAAAATGCATTAAAGAATTCTTTTTTGGAGGATCTTGAAATATGTTCCCGTGGAAACGAAGGTAGAGCGGTTTGCTGTTATTTTCTGAACATAATCGCAGATCTTCCAATGAATTTTGCTGAATACAGAACATTTTCGATTATGTTTAATCGTTTCACTCAAAGCAAGGCGGTAATTACAATTTTACGACACTTGTTTTACGGCAGGAACACAAAAAAGAGTTATGTAGCTGATTCGCACGCTATAGGAAATTACTAGCAATGAAACAAATTCAGTAAATGCAGATAGCTGTATCAAATATTTTATTTGTTCAAGGATTATAAAGTACAACTTAATTTCAGTTGAAACAGCTACATTTGAGCAGGATGATTTATAATAATAATAATAATAATAATAATAATAATAATAATAATAATAGTCTGGGTCCAAAATGCAGGTTCTGTGACAAATATCAGGAAACCATAGAACATCTAATCTCAGGATGTTCGGTAATTGACGCCAAATGAATATAAAAATTGTCATGATAGAGTGGGGCAATACTTACACTAGACAATGTGCTAACACTTTGGAAAACATGTTAATAAACACTGGTATGAACATCACCCAGCACCGCTTATAGGAATAAAAGAGATCACAATTCCGTGGGATTAAACCATCCTTATAAGCAGAAAGATTGAAGTAAATAGGGCGGACATAAGTGTTAAAAAAAAGAAAAGAAAAGAAAACTTGCCTACTAATTAATATGATTTGCCCAGCGGACTGTAACATAGCAACCGAGGAATTTGAAAAACTATCCAAGTATAAAGACCTGGAAATCAAAATAAAAATTGTGGGAAGGTAAGGCTTCAAGAACACCAGAACGCTGTAACACGAAGGAAGTTGAAAAATCAGGCGTGGCTGACCACATATAGAGAGAAAAGGGAGATCACCACTCTCTGTGGGATCAGGTTGAGATCATAGACAAAGAACATCATTGGAAAATTGATAAACTTAAGGAATCAGTACATATGCTAGGCCACAAAAATCTCCTGAGCCGATCAAGCATAGAAATAAATACAATATGGGAACCAGTAATAATGAGTTCCACAGAAAAGCAATAATAACAACAAAAATTGCAATATGAGCTCTAGTAAAAACAAACAATAATAACAGCAAAAATTGCAATGTGCGCACTGGTAAAAATGGTTGCTGAAGACATTAGGTTTATAATACCCAGAAATTCATATACAGATGCCCTCAAGGACACATAGCACAGTGGATAAAGGCGTTAATTAGATCCAGTGACAGGACCTAAACAGACATCAATACCTGTTTAAGGCGTTGGAGAACTTGGAGAGGAGAATTAACAGGAGATAACTGATAACTGACATCAATTAGACGTGGCACGTGGAACTAAAACACTTTACCCCAGTGAGCGAAATAAAGGGTTCAGTTCGACATTCCAACCAGAGATTACAAATAAATATGGCGACAAAGATTAGGATAATAGTCCGAATAATTTAAATAGTGTAAACAAAAACATACCTCCATAAGAAAGATTTCAATTTCCTGATTTCAAAAGTAAAACACAGACATTACATATGAAGCGGCAGTTTTTTAAGCTTGGAATAAACCTAACCTCGAAGAGGTTGGGATATATCAGAAAAGAGAGAAATGTATTAAAATGGCTCGTCGTGAAAAAAAAAAGATTATTGAAGAAATCATTGCTGTATAAAATAAAAATTATTTTTCAATGATATACCTAGGAATATGAGCTTTCTTACATTGAGTTGACAACCAGTCTAGGAAAAGGAAACCTGGGGATTTAAAATGAGCCTGTAGAATGAAGGGCTTCGTCAGGTTGTCGTGCATTAGACACACTTCTTACGCGATACCTGCAATACATGTGGTGCAGAGATCTTGACGTGGCATGGCATCGATTCATCAATAAATCCTTAAAGATAGAACAAGTATTTATTTTTCAATATTTTCATTTGAATGCCATCTATTTCCTTGTCAACGCACTTAATCCAGTGATGACGCTTATTCACAACGATTAAACATTATTCAGAGAAACCTTCCGTTACATTTCAAGTATTAAATACATATCAAGCTACGATCAACGCAGTTGTATACGTCCATTTAAAATGTGGTGATCAGCATCATCATTTTCCTGATATGTCTATTCTGAAAGTTTAAGGCAAGGCAGCCATCAGCAAATGTCGATGCCAGTGAGAAACGACTTGTACGGTTCTTGTGGAAAAGTGGCTTTTAATCTGTCTATAATTACACCCACAATTGAATCCGCTCAGATCGAACATAATTTATTTATTGTCCAGTTCTATAATTTAAGAAGTCTGCGCTTGTGATCGACAAATAAGAAATCGATCCGTGCGTTCTGAGTCAAGGAACATGGTCAACATTTTCTCTTTCCGGTTTAATGTGCGCTTGACAACACAGAACAGCTGGACAATGCCAGAAAGGATTAATCTAATATATAAAGCTCTAGTTTTGCGTCTGTGCGTCCGTCAGATACACCGAAAAATGAATCAAATCTATCTATCTATCTATCTATCTATCTATCTATCTATCTATCTATCTATCTATACACCTACATCTACATTCGTGATCTGTGGGCGCTTATGTATGCAAATAAATAAAACTCACAAATAAAATAAGCAGAGTTTAATAATTTCCAGTATTTATATTTTTTGGACTGTTGCCTTTATCTTTTTCGTCATTTGAGAGTTGACCCACAGAGGATCGGTCGATTTTACTGTTTTTAAACTACAATCTTCTATGATTCTCTCGCGTACATCCATATCTGCTCAATGCGTATCCAAATGTAAACAAATGACGTCACACATTATGAAATGGACAAAGTCCGACAATTCTTTTAAGACATTTTTATGTTTATACATTCTTTTTTTCATAATGTGTGGCGTCATTTTTTTACATTTGGATACGCATTGAGCAGATATGAATGTACGTGAGAAAATCATGGAAGATTGTAGTTTAAAAATAGTAAAATCGAGCTTGCTAACCAAAACGCTCCTCTGTGGTGAAATCGGTAAAATCACGTCAGGCTATATGACGATTCCGTATAGGATACAGGTTCGATTCCTGTGGGAGGACGTATATTTTCTATGAAAATTTCTCGGACATTCAGGCCGGTAAATGTTGTTAATACTGTTTATTATAAGCAGAGCATTTACTTAAATATTTTATCTATAAAATGAATGTATAAACATAAAAATGTCTTAAAATAATTGTCGGATTTTGTCCCTTTCATAATGTGTGACATACACACACACACACACACATATATATATATATATATATATATATATATATATATATACACAGGGGTTGGACAAAATAATTGGAACAGGTGAAAATTCCACTCCTATATTTCAAAAACCTATTATATTAAGGACTTTAACTAAAAATTCGTAATTGCAGATTATATCTGTTGTAAATACGTTTATTTATCTAATTTACTGTCTTTATCTTATTTATTTTTAGAATTTAGTAAAATTTAAGCTAAATGCGTGACCTCTCCGAGTTCAAAAAAGAGCAAATCGTTGGAGCTTGCATGGCAGGGGCCTTGATCACTAAGGTTGCTGAACTATTTGTTTTTTTCAAGAGCTACCATATCAAGAACTATGACGCAATTCGAGAAACAGGGCAAAACCTCTAGCAACCGTAGCAATTCGGGGTGGACTTGCAAAGTTACTAACAGGGACCGACGTGCATTGAAACGCAATGTTGCAAAACATCATTGGACTACTGCAGCCAAAGTGACTGATGAGTTGAATAATCATCTGAATAGTTCAGTATCTATTAAAAGTGTTCGTCATGATCTCCATAAGGCTGGATCTCATGGAAGAGCCGTCGTAAGGAAACCTCTTCTCTCCACTCGCAACATTCAAAAGAGGTTGAAGTGTTGTAGAGATCACAATGCCTGGTCTGCAGACCAATGGAAGCAAATCATATTCTCAGACGAGTCCAGTTTTTCTCTTTTCCCAACTTCAGGGCGAGTTTATGTGTGAAGGCAGCCTCAAGCTTTCAATCTTGACTGCCTTCTTCCCTGAAGGATGGAGGTGGATCAGTGATAGTTTGGGCCGCCATATCATGGAAATGTCTCAGTCCAATAGTTGCCCTGCATGGTAGAATCAACAGCAAAGATTACCTGAACATTTTGGGAGATCATGTTCATCCAATGGCCCAGACTTTCTTCTCTGATTGTGACTGCATCTTCCAAGATGATAATGCTCCAATACATACCGCTCGAGTGGTAAAGAATTGATATGTAGAGCATGAAAATGAGTTAGAATACATGGAGTGCCCTCCCCAATCTCCAGTTATCAATATTATTGAACATTTGTGGTGCATTTTGGAGCGACGTTAGGAACCACTATCCTCCACCACAATTTCTTAAGGAGTTGAAGCAGGTGTTAATGGAAGAATGGCTGAACATTCCTCTGGATGAAGTCAGGAAGCTGTATGGTTCCATTCCTAGGCGTATTAAAGCTTTATGTGAGACTAAAGGAGGACCAACTCCATATTAATTTTTTTTTTTGAATTTAACAAGTGTTTCAATTATTTTCTCCAACTCCTGTATATATATATATATATATATATATATATATATATATATATATATATATATATATATATAGTGAACCAGACAAACCTACCCAGGTTTCACCTAAGCGGATCGTCAGGGAATCTAGGTCTGCTCTACGGTTGTATTAAGCTCTTTTTAGTTAGTTGTTTACCCGTGTCGGTGTTTTTTTCTTCGGACTTTGAACCTGTATCTGTGTGATTTCTTCGACAGATTTTCATGTTTCTGGCTCTTTCTTTTTTTAAAAACTTTTTTTTCCTTCGAGATTGATTTGATTATTGGCAAATAAAAAATTCGAAGGTTTTTCGAGATGAGTATAGTTACCGATATATATATATATATATATTCAGTTATATATCAATATAAATGTCGATGTGAGATTGACTATGTGGGCAAGATTATCCAGAGGTTAGTAGTTAGGATCGTCCAGCATGTCCCTAGCCAGTTGCGTTGACACCAGCCTCTGATATCCGGGTGTTCGCAGACGTATGACAACCGCTATCGGTGAACACTTATTAGATTCTCTTGTCTGCAGGACGAATTATTCTCCGGGGTTTATTTCTGTCTTTCACAGAGAACGGACCAGACCCCATTTAGACATCCTGGAGTCTGTTATTAGTAATATGCAACGTACCGAACTATGCAGAAATGAGGAGTTAAAATATAAGTTAGCCTTTTTGGGGAAACAGTCGCCTAAGTGGGAAGAAAATTAATTTTTTTCCCTCCTATACTTTTGGTAATTTATATCTTAATATCATTTGTTGGTAAAAAAAAAAAAACTTTCTTGTCTTCTACTTTGTTTTCTTCTGCAGACGTTTATTTTCCTAAAGAAGTGTCGGCCGAAAGGTGCTTTAAATTTTAAAACGTCGTGATATATCTGTATCCAATTTTAACAAGAAATTATTATGCCTGTTCTTAAGATTATTTTATACTGGTGTGGCAACAGGAATCTGTTTATGCTTATATATATATATATATATATATATATATATATATATAAGCATAAACAGATTTATATATATATATATAAATTTCCAAGGGGATAGACCCCAGGTACAACTCAATGTCCAGGACAGAGTAAGAATATAATATAAATACTCGCACTAATATTTCATGGTTATAATTTATTATATTGGAATCGTAATCACGATCCAATTCATCAGACCTACAAATTCAAAAAGAAATCGGTAAATATAACTCCGGGTATAAAAAACAAAATTTCTTTTTGATTTCTGATTTCTTTTAAATTTGTAGGTCTGATGATGTGGATTGGGATTACGATTACAATTTTATAAATTATAACCATGGAACATCAGTGATTTTGCCTTATATATATATATATATATATATATATATATATATATATATATATATATATATATGATTGGCTTGCTCTGCATGTCTGTTTTTCTAAGCTGCTGCATCGTGCATTTTTATACGTCCGCTTTTTGCGATAAGCGCTATATTGTATTTACCGCAAACCTCGACATATCCTAACGAATTAAACATAAAGATAAAACAGGTTTAAAGTTGAAAAAAAAGAAAAACGGAAATATCAAGTTTCAACCTGCTATTTTAAATAAAACTAAACATTTAATACATTATCAATAAACAAACAACTTCTTTACAGTAAAGATCAACGTTTAAAATGTTTTGTGAAACGCAGTAACAATCCCTTTTCATTGTCAAATGTGAATACGTATTTTAATAGACTAACTTCAATTAAAGAGACTCTAATTTACAGTTTAAAGAAGTAGTAAAAGTTGTTGAAGGTTTTTTATAATTAATAACATGGTGTTGCAGTTTGATCAATGTATGTTAGATAATAATAATAATAATAATAATAACAATGATAATCATAATAATAATAATAATAAATAGAAATCGTTATTTGAGACTACAAGCAAAAACAATTGCCTCCTTAATAATATGGCAGTCACTTTAGATTGTAATGTATCTTTGAAGATCTTCAAAAAGCTATCAAAATACAAGGACCTTGAAATCGAAATCTCAGAAATGAGACACATGAGGACATCAATAATCTCTGCTGTAGTTAGAGCACCCTGATTTATTGGAAAATATTCCAATAGACACATTTAAGTGATTTCTGATAGCCCATGCCTTACAGAAATAGAAAAAAATTGCATCAGATCTTTATGTTGCCCAGACACTATTGTTTCGACTGCCGATTAATTGTCCTACGACCAATGTTTGCAATGGACGTAAATCCAAGGAAGCGTACGAAAATTGTGATGCTACACGAACACACTGGCAAACCTTACCAGTGAGCAAAACAAAGTGCTGTAGACTGGTCCCGAAACTCTCCTGATTTAAATCCAATCTAGAATCTGTGGCCAAGTCTGCAAGGAACGACTTTGTGGGATGTACATACGAAGTACCAACCTGTGTACTAGGTCATGTTTCATTGGAAAAATAAGAAAAAAACCCGTAAATAATAAAGGAATTATTCGTTTTGTTTCAATTAATTTGCACAAGGGTGTATACTTTAATAACATGAACGATACATATTGTATCTATTTGTTTTTATACCCATCTTTTAGAGTTGTCGAATCACTTTCTTGATATTAGGGTGAAATTCATCAAGGAAGGTGCCGTAGTTTTTTTTTTTTTTTTTTATAACCCAAGTACTTTCGACCATTTCTAAGATCATCTTCAGGGGTAAATTACAAAGACAAACTCATTGTAACTGCGATATAATCTGAAATCCGTTATGATGTTGAATACAGGAAAATGATTTTGACAAAACCAATGTACTACACCTCGAAAACAATTTTTAAAAATTCAAATTTTCGAGGACCCCTGCTTCAAAATCAATGAACCAACCCCCAACAAAATTTAATAGGAGTGCAGCAGCAATGTATTAATGTGCATATAACAGATATTTGATGCGATTTTGCATTTCTACTAATTTCCAGTCAGCTCATTTCTATTGAAACGCTGGTTTTGACAAAACAAAAATCTATAGCTACAACGGATAAATTTAAAGTTTTAAAATA